GTAACAAATTGTCACTGTTTTTCTGTATTTTCAACCATGAAAACAGGATATTGCTCTTGCTGAATTGGCTCCTACACATCCAATTAGGCTAGGTCTTGCTCTTAACTTCTCCGTGTTTTATTATGAGATCCTTAATTCGCCAGACCGCGCTTGCAATTTGGCAAAGCAGGTAAAGCTCTATACTAATTCGACGCCTGGTTTTTTCTGGTTAACCCCATCAGAAAAACAGAAGAAAGTGACTGATTGGGTCTTTTTTCCTAAGATCAATTTGGTTAGCTGATGATAACCTTATGTCTCGTGTCGAAATAGGCTTTTGACGAAGCGATTTCTGAGCTTGACACATTGGGTGAAGAATCATACAAGGATAGCACCTTGATCATGCAACTCCTCCGAGACAACTTGACCCTTTGGACCTCTGATGTTGGGGTAAGTAACGCTCTCAGGCACAAGCCTTAATGCATTGGCTACTCAATTTTGTTTTCAAGACATGTCTTGCTATACCCTTATTCCAGCTCTGTTTTACACTGCTTCCAATCATATCTCTGCACAACCGCGTTGGAAAACCTTGATTAGACTGCTGTCTAAAATCTTGTCTTGTCTGTTTTTTCTGGTCTGCTTCTCCTGTAAATAGTCTCCTAGAATCCAAGGTAGAGAAAAACAGATCCATCGAGTCACAAACCAAAAAACTCCCGAATTTTAAAATTTATAGCAATGTGCTACACATGAGCTGGCTTTATGCAATTGCCATTAATGACAATAAAGTCAGTAGACATGTCCTGACATGTTCTGTAACCTGTTGTGTCTGGTCTGATATTACATACTAATAATGGTGATTTGTGACAACTTCTGTAGGATGAAGCCGGCGATGAAATTAAGGAAGCATCAAAACGTGAATCAGGAGAGGGACATGGACAGTAGTTTATCTTGTTATTTGAGTCAATAGGAGCTGTACTCTGTACTTTTACTTTTCCCTTTTTCTTTTCTTTTGTTCTTTAAAATGTGGCGACCCTGTCTTTTAGTGTTGTTAGTGCTACTTGGGTTGTTGGTAGTTTCTGAATGAAATGATGTCTTTAGTTGATGGGCTTTGGCTTTTGAGTGCAAGATGTGGAAGCACTTCCAGAGCCTTCCTTTGAATACTCCAACAGAGTATAATGTGGTTTTATTATTTATGAGAAGAATTTGATGTTTCGGTGTTTCGATGTTTCGAGTGCTATGGAATATGATATTCGTTTTGTCGTTTGGCTTAAACACATTGATCTGCTGTTCTTCATTTTCTACATACAAAGAGAGTTCGTTCTTCTAATTCATTTCGAGTATCATAATATGATTTAAACTGGGATTTTGGGAGTTCTTGAAGCAATTGAAAGACAAATTGTAAGCTAAGCTTAACAAGAGGCAAACTATACTATAAACTTGATATTTTGGCTACATTTTGGGAAGAAATTTCCTCTCAAAGCCAACCAATCAAAAGCCTTATAAGGGCAATGTGGTGGCAGGAGGCTGAATAAAGAAGAACAAACTTGTGAATCCCATGATAAACAGAGCAAAAAAAGCCAATGATTTGCGAGGATCAGCACACTTCCTAACAAGTTTGATTCCCCTTTCTTGGCCTCTCCTTGAAGAAGATGATGCAGAAGATGAAGAAGAACCAGCATCATTCACCTCCACAACTGGGCATGTTAAAAACCCATATAGCATTCCACTGAAAGCTGCTCCTGTGTGAGTCCTACAAACACCAAACAAACCAAAACAATTCGTAACTAAAGCGGTCCAGATATTCATTAACAATTCTCTCGAGAATGTTACAAACGACGTTTAGAATGGTTGAAAAGTGATCTAGCTATTATATATCGTTTAGCTATCGATACAAAACTCAGCGTTTCTTCTCGAAGAATTAAGTGTTACGAGAATCAAAAATGGAGTCTAGAGTTTTTTTTTACTCACCATTCATCAATTGGGCCAATATTGCTCAAAATGGAACTGACGACAGCTACAAATATTGCCTTCAAAAACATGCTGTCTAAAACATCCTTTGCAACCACGTCTTTGTTCTGGAATTGGTAACTTAGCCAAGCTCCAATCATGGCAAACACAGGCCCCTGCTCCATGTGTTCATAATTTACATCTATCACGAATCAGACTAACCAACAGCAATCAAACTCGAATTATGCCTTCGACTACTACTCGTAGGTATTCGAACTAGTTTATGCACGTCTCGAGTACGATATTAATATATGCGGTAATGGAAGTAAATTTATCGACTGTAATTGGAAACGAGAAGGGAAAACATTGTTTTTTTCGTTACCGTTCCACCGATAGTCGGCTCGGGAGTATGGAGAAAGCTTGTGAGATTGCCAGAAACTCCTCCTAAGACATAGATCAAGAAAAATGTAAAGGGGCCATAGTCTCTACAAACTTGACGGCCAAATGTAACCAATGTCCAACAACTGAGAGCAACATGAACAGCTCCTGAATGCTGCATAAAGAGATCGGCTTCATGAGTGCTAAAGCAAAGTAATAATCAATAAATCTTTACATTCAAATCTTCAATGTCAAAGAAAGTGGGTCGCGAGATATAATCTCCCACCCGACTTCATGTAAAATATATTGTTAATAACGTGATTAGTTAAAACCTTGAGGGAAAACCTGGAAGGATAAGCCTAAAGAGGACAATATCGGCTAGCGATGAGCTTATGCTGTTACAAATGGTATCAAAGTCAGACATCGAGCAATGTGCCAACAAAGACGCTGGGCCACCAAGAGGGATGGATTGTGAGATCCAACATTAGTTGGAGAGAGAAACAAAGCAGTTAAGGGTGTGTGAACTTCTCATAGTAGACACATTTTAAAATCGTAAGGGAAAGTCCAAAGAGGACAATATCTGCTAGAGATGAGTTTGGTTGGTTACAAATAGTATCAGAGTCAAACATCGAGTGGTGTGCCAGTGAGGATGCTGCCTCCCAAGGGGATGAATTGTGAGATCCTACGTCAGTTGAAGAGGGGAACAAAGCATTCCTTATAAGGATGTGGAAACTTCTCCTTAACAAACGCGTTTTAAAACCTTGAGGAAAACTCAAAAGGGAAAGTCCCATGAGGACAATACCTGCTAGCGGTGGGCTTGAGCTGTTACACACGTTTTGTTATCAGTCTTATTAAAAAGGAAAAACGAATAAATGTTCAAAACAGCTCTAGAATGGAAACACGAACCGAGTTATATCTATCAATCGTGTACCAGAAACATAGGTGTCACAAGCCTCCACCATTCTCCTACTAGGATCAACTCATTTATCTTTGCTCCATATAGAGAAGGTAGTGAAAAGAGTGGCAGCCCTGAGCTTTTTACTGGACTTGCTACTTCAAACAAGAAAACAGCTATGTTTACTGAAACCAGAGCACTTCTGCATCCTGAAAACAAACCGAACACGGTTCCGTTAGCGACCATATTCGATCATAACAAAAGTGATTTTACGAATTAGGATATGAATCATACATTAAGTAGAGATCAGAAACTTCGTCTTCTTGTAGTTGAGCTGTTCTTGGCATGCTTCTCTTAATCATATCATCGAGTTTGTCGTGTCGTATTTGTGTCTCGTCGTCTCTTTCGTGATCGTCAAGAGGGAGAGACGTGAATACGAACGATTTGCTTTTATGTTGTTCTCCAAAATTATACGTCGCATGGTTATGGATGCATGCATCTGTAAATTATAAATTGTATATTCAAAAAAATATTTACGCCGTTAAATTAATATTCTTGAATAAAATTAAAAAATAATTACCATTATCAACTTTTTCAAAATAAGCGTCAAGCAACTCGAGCTCTTTCTTTGCTTTGAACTGACCGGTATCAACCACCTCTACCTTCTTCTTCAAAGGAACCATTTTTCTCTTACTCCCACCACCTTGAAGCCTTCCAAAATAAGAACCCAACGATCTCAACTGTTTCTCATTCGTGTTACACTCCCGAACACGGCATAGCTTTTCGAAAACCTCGGAGTCAGAATCCAAACCATTGGATCTAGCACGCTTGTCATCGCGTTGCAACGATGCCGTCAACGACCCTCTTCTTGGCTTTCTCGTTCTTGTTAGAACCATAACAAGAGACGAATCGTTATTTGAAATCTCCCGCCGAGGATTGTGGCACTCGAGAATTGGCAAATTCTTGGAACCAGCATCGCAGTTGCAAGTAATTGGATTGATCGAGTTTTTAAAGTTTCGCATGGGACGAGTGGCGGGAATTACGAGAGCCATCATTTGAACTCGAGTGTATGTTTGAGGTAATCAACAAAAGGGGGATGATTTATAAAAGGTGATTGAATAGCTGAGAGGTTCTTGGTTCCATTAAAGGACTTTGAAATTTTGCAGATTTCATTTAAAGATTATTGGAGATTTTAGATTCTGAATATTTCATTTAAAGATTATTGGGCAAAGAGATGTTGGTAATCCCCTAAACCACCCTTATCTCTGTTCATCCATTAACAGTCCACCACGTGTAATATATATTTTACATAACTATTGGCCTTGGGCCATATGAAAAATCCGAGTAGACCCCACCAAACACTAGATTGGGTTGGGATTTTGAAAGTCTTGGTCTGCCACCTCAGCAGCCCGGCCCAAAGCTATTCTGAACCGTTAACTTTCATGGCTAGCTTGAATTCAGTGGAGCCATTGAAATGAATAGGTTTTGATGCGTGTGTGTATATATATATATAGGTTAAGCGTGTCTCGAGTTCTTTCCTTTTGGTAAGGCCCTTGCGTTGTCTTGTTTGATCAACCAGCTTTGATTCAACAACATTTAGAGTGAAAGATTTGAATCTCTTACCTCTGGATCATCAATAGATGCTAATTACAGCAAAATTGGAATTTGTTAGCTAGGTGAACTAAAATCAATTGTATGAAACAATTTAATCTAAATTTAGTTAGCGTAGATTGCGTAATTTAAGTTAATTAGGTGTTTGAACACTAAACCCTAGACTTTAAAGTCCAAGTAAAAGCCGAAACGAGTCCAAGTAAGATTTACATTAACTCACCCAGCCTGTTCAAAATCGTATTCAGGAAAACCCAAATTTCTGTAGCGAATTCAGATCTTCAAAAGTGGCGGGACTTCTTTAATTGCCTCGAAGATTTCTTTTCAAACTCAGTTTTCGCTCTCCATTTTTTCCCGCCGGAACGGAAGAATATCTAGAACAAATAACACCCGCCAATCGGGAAATGCAACCCCTGCTTCCTCCCTAGCGTCTTCCAACTCCTCAAAGCCCAACCCCATTTGTTCAACAGATCATTTCCACGAAACACCACCATTTGTTGCCTGTTTCTTAATCTGGGTTTCGAAGATTTTGATCTGAACTGAACTGCAACCACTTAATGGGGAGCAAGAAAAGGGTTGTTGCTGATAACAACGAGCACAGAGCCAAACGGACCAAGTCTCCTGGAGTTCGAGTCATCGGGGGCCGGATCTACGATTCTGAGAACGGAAAAACTTGTCATCAAGTAATTTTTTCAAACTCTGATTACCTTTGATGTTCAGTGTTTAATTTTATGGAATGTCGACGATTTCTTATGGTTTTTATTAATGCTGAAGTGCCGACAAAAAACTATGGATCTTGCTGCATCCTGTACGAACATGAAGGGGGACAAGCTGTGCACCATAAAATTCTGTCATAAATGCCTTATAAACAGGTTACATTGTTGATTTCGTGTATTTATGGTCTTTACATTTTTGGGTTTCACTTGTTTTTAGTATATATGGTGTTAAAAAGTTGTGTGAGGATTCCATCTGTGCTCGTATTGAATGAATTTCTTGGAAACTATATCAGATATGGGGAGAAAGCAGAAGAGGTGATGCTTAAGGGAGGCTGGAAATGTCCCAGATGCAGAGGGCTTTGCAATTGCAGCGTTTGCATGTAAATCTGTAACTGTGATCCTTATTCCTATCTTAATCCGTTTTTATTAGAAGTTTTTTAGATTGAATGATCATTTGATCTAATTGAGAATAACCATTTTCAGGAAGAAAAAAGGTCTTAAGCCGACTGGTTTGTTAGTACACACAGCCAAAGCAACTGGGTATTCTTCTGTCTCAGAAATGCTTTTAGTGAATGGTTCTGAGTGTCTAGATCATGCTAAGGATACGGCATTCGAAGTTGCTTCACCCAACAAGCACGCCTCTGAAGACGAGGTTTGATTTTGTTTAGTTGGTTGTTGTTATTGTCTTTTTTCACCGTGACATGTAAATGCTATGGGTGTATTTCTCAATGTTATTGGAAAAATGTTGGCCTGAAGTTTTATCTTTTCATCTCACTGGAAACATTTTAGGTTTAGTTGGATGATATCAATGATGGCTCTTTGTTTCTATTCACATATTAACATTTGAAGATCCTAAGATTTTACTTGAGATGCTCTTTGTGGCTCCTTTTGGTTTTTGGCCTTGCTTTTCAGTGTTTCCCTAGCGTCTGGGGTGATGTCTTCTTCAGGATTTTGTTGGTGTGGTTTTCAGTGGGGTTTAATGACTGAAGTTTGTGATGTAATTGAGTTTATTTGATGCACTTGACCATATTCAATGCAACTTGGCTTCCACTTTGAAATCCTTCTCTTGAACTCTTTGCCTTGTGCTTATGCTTCTTAGATTCATATGACTTGGGCATGGGGCGTCTTTTCCCAACGGCCTTTAGATTGTCTTATGTGGTGTGTTTCAGTACGTGTTTCTCTTGTTTCCTACCGAAGAAATGTATATGTTCCACAGGGCTTTTGCATTCCAGGTTTGGTTTCCATGCCTATGCTATTTTATTTACAAAGCTCACATGCTTTCCAACAGGTGTCTGTCATGATTTCAACAAGGAACGAAGGGAAGGAAAATTCTTTAAATGGAAATAACAAATCGAACTTGAATTTGCAGAATCAAACTCCAAACTCTGAAAAAAAGGAGTTGAAGGACATGAAGCGTCAAGGACTGAAAGAAATAAGCAATGGAAATAAGGTTGATGTTAAATGCATAGAGGAAACTCTTAAGAAGCAAACTGAAGCAAATGGGACGAATGAATGTCTTTCCACGAAGAAAAAGAGCTCCAAAAAACGAGCCTCTGAGGATGCTGGAGAAAGGAATAGTTTGTGTCATGAGGACGCTTCTTGCCATCTAATTACAGCTGAAGAATCGAAAGAAGTAAATGATTTGGATATTCACAAATATGCCAAGACATCAGAAGATGCAAAAAATAAAAGAACAAAGTTGAAAAACAAGCCACCTATGAATATTCAGAACAAGGAATTTGGTGCCTGTGTTTCTTTGCCTCCATGTTCTAAGTTAACTACTGTAGCAGATATTGAACTGACCACAGAAGATGTTGGCCATGCGTTGCAGTTTTTAGAATTCTGTGCAGCTTTTGGTAAGGTATGTGTATCATTTTTGGTTTCAATTCATTTTTTTGAGATCATTTTTAAGATTTATTGAAAGTACAAGTACTAAATTCAGGCATTTGAAACTGTAACGACCAAAATGGAATTTTGACCCATTATCCTTTATGAGGAGTTCAGCTAGAGCACAGTACCATATCTGTTGATTGGTTTTCTTTTTCGTTATTGGATAGGCTCTTAATTTAAAGAAAGGGCATGGTGCGTTAGTACTCAAAGACCTAACGCGGGAGAGAACTCCGAGAAGGGGGGGTCGAGTTCATGATTCACTGACTGTTCGATTTCATATTCAACTCCTTTCTCTGATATTGCAGGATATGGATGAAGAGTACGACTATAATAAGCTGAGGCTCTTATTTCTATTATTTGATTGGGCATACACTCTCTAATCTTAACCTCTATCTGTTCTTAGGTCTGCAATCTCTAGTCCCACAAATGACACAAGCTCATGGTTGCTGGATTTGAAGAAATGCATTTCTGCATCCTCATTTAAGATGAATGATCTCAAACCTGATTACTTTGGTGGAGGAGACAATTGTTATGATGACTTAGACTTCTCTAAAAAGCTCAGACTATTGACTTACCTTTGTGATGAGGCTCTCAATACTACGTAAGTAAAGCCATTCAACATGCTAATCTTTGATTGGGTTGGTTTTCGAATTTAATCTCTGTTTTCCTCCCAGAAAATTGAGAAACTGGATTGAAGAACAAAATGCTAACTTTGTGGAGAAACAAAAGGAAGTAAGAGAAAAACTTTCTGCGCTGAAGGATAAGGTAGCATAAGTTGGCAGTGACGTCTATAAAGCTTGTAAGTAATTTTCCTTCAAATTTAAACTAATTCCTCGTTGTTTGGTTACAGGAGAAAGAGGCTAAGAACAAATTGAAAGATGAATTTGCCAAAGCTCTTATTGCCAAGAATGGTCTTCCCCTTTCGATTGCCGAGCATGATGCTATTGTTGCGCAAATAAAAAGAGACGTCGCTGAAGTTCAAGCTGAGAAGCTTGTTGCATTGGAATTGGCATCTAACAGTATGCTCTGGAACTTCTTTCTTGTTCTTGCCATCGTCATTATCATTATTATTATTATTATTATTTAGGTAGCTTGGCGAGTCCCTCAGATTGTATAAAGTGTATTCAAATTCTTGTCTGGGCAAGAAAACTGTCACTAAATTAGTAATTGATCCCAGAGTTCTGTTCTTTGGTTGAAACTGAAGTAATGAATTTTGGTGGTCATATTTTAATCTGGAGGATATTGTTATTGTTGTAGAGAAACAAAGATCAGAAGCGACCAGGACAGTTCCCATCATTTTGGATGTTAATGGTCGTGTCTTTTGGAAATTAAGAGGCTTTGCTGGCGAAGGGAACATTCTGCTACAAGGTTGGATAGCTGGGATGCCTGTATTCTCTAGATTGTGTTTTTTTTGTTAATAATTATAACAATAGAAGTAATTTCTGAATGGTAGATATGGAAAGCTGGGAATCAGTCAATCCAAGCGAAAAGTGGTCTATGTTTAAAGACGAGCAGAAACAAGAGATAGAAAAATACATTTCTTCTTTAAGGTCAGTATTACATTCCAATTCATTTCTTCTACACTTACTGCTTATGAGATCATGATTTTTTGGGATTAAGATGTTAATTTCCCGTCTTTCGCTGCAACGAACAAGTTTTTGTGGAGCTCACCAATTAGTGCAATAGAGCTTCCTAAAGATCCTATAGAGTTTGCTGCTTAAGATGTTTTGTTTTGTTTTGTTTTGTTGTGTTTTGTTTTTGTTTTGAATTGGATCAATCCAGGTTGAAGAGGCCTCCTAGGTTGGTGGAAGTACCTCAAACTCTTCCAGATGGAGGTATTGAGGCAGCTTCAGTGTGTTGAAATTTGGCATCTGTTTTTTGTTTTAGGAGCAGATTGCCTAAGCAAATGACTTGAAAGAAGATTTAGTTTCCATTTACTTATGTTCTAAGATGGGATATATCCATTTCCTCTATTTTGTAACTTGAGACGAGCTTTTACTTAACAGCTACTTTAGCAAAAAAAAAAAAAAAAAAAAAAAAAAAAAAAAAAAAAAAAAAAAAAAAAAAAAAA